TCTTGATGTTAGCTTGGGCAATGAGTTTTTTTTTTTAATTAAGATATAGTTAATATACAATATCATATAAACTTTAGGTGTCCAACACAATGATTCACAAGTTTTAAAGGTTGTATTCCATTTATAGTTTTTATACAATATCAGCTTATTTCCTGTGCTGTATCTATATATATCCATGTAGCTTATTTATTTTATACCCAGTAGTGTGTGCCTCTTACTTCCCCTCACTTGTCCCTCCTGTCTCCCCTCTCCCCACTGGTAACCACTAGTTAGTTCTCTGTATTTGTGAGTCAGCTTCTTTATTGTCATGATCACTGATTAGTTTTATTTCTTAGATTCCACATGTAAGTGATATCATACAGTATTATCTTTTGGTTTTCTTGATATAACTCCAAAATTACAAATAACAAAGACAAAAATAAACAGGCGGGATGTCATCTAACTAAAAATTGTCTGTGCATAAAGGGAAGCCAACAACAGAGTGAAGACACAAACCTCTGAGATGGGAGAAGACATTTCACACCAAATATCTGATAAGAAGTTAGTATCCAAATATATAAGGACCTTTCTTAACTCAATAACAAAATTTAGTTAAATAACCTGATTTGAAAATGAGCAAATGACCTGGATAGGCATTTCTCAAAAGAAAACATACAAATGACCAACAGGTATATGAAAAGGTGTTCAACATCACTAATCATCAGAAATGCAAATCAAAACCACAATGAGATATCACCTTACATATGTTAGAAAGGTTATTACCAAAAAGACATAAGATAACAAGTGCGAATGAGGATGAAGAGAAAAGGGGACCCTCCTACCCTACTGGTTGGAATGTAAATTGTGGAAAACAGTATGGAGGTTTCTCAGAAAATTAAAGCTAGAACTACCATATCACCCAGCAGAAATAAAGTCACGATCTCAAAGAGATATTCACAAACACATGTTTGTTGCAGCACTATTCACAATAGCCAAGGTATGGAAGCAACCTCAGTGTCCATCAATGGGCAAATAAATAAAGAAGATGTGACATAGATAGATAGATAGATTGGCAGAAACATATGAGAATATTAGTCAGTCTTAAAAAAAAGAAATTTGCAGTAACGTGAAGTTGGAGGACATTATGATAAATGAAGTAAGTCTGACACAGAAACACAAGTACTGCATGATCTCACCTATATGTGGAATCTAAAAAGTTGAACTCAGGAAACAGAGAGTAGAGTAACTACCAGTAACTAGAGGATGGGGGAAAAGAGATACACTAGACCAAGGGCACCAAGTGTCAGCCATGCAGGATGAATTAGTCCTAGAGACCTAATGTACAGCCTGATAACTGTAGGTAATAGCAGTTTTAGTGTGTACTGGAAATTTGCTAAGAGATTAAATTTTAAGTGTTCTTACCTCACACACACACACAAAAAACATGTTACCTATGTGAGGTGATGGATATGTTAGCTTGATTATGGTAATCAGTTCACAATGTATACATACATCAGGACCTCATGTATATGTACATTGTGTATATGCACAGCTCAAATATACACAATTTCTACTTGTCAATTATACCTTAGCAAAGCTGGGAAATGAAAAAGGGGCAAAAAAAGGGTGATCTTCTGCCAATTTCATTCCCTTCCAGTTCAGTCAGATTTATAATACTTTCCCTCTCTTTCTCCACAAAACTTTGTTCCTTTTAATTGAAATAAGATAGAAATTTCAGGAAGCAAAAGACAAACTCTGGTCAAAATGGTTTTCATGCTTTTGCTCCCAATCAAATGAGCTCAAGTCTTGGAAGGGAACATTCTCATGGCCCACAGTTCTGGGCTGTAGAGAGGTGTTCCACAGTCACCTCACTAATGCTCACTTGGTGACCAGAGAGTTTGAGCTTACTGTTCGCAAAGTCTAAAACGAAGCCCTCACAAAGAATATGAAGGAATGCTCTAGCAGGAGAGAGTTCTGACCCCAGTCTTACTCCTCCAAGGCAGAAACTGTGACCTTGTAGTAAAATCCAATTACAACTTCCTCTTGTTTTATTTGGAAATGAAGGATTCTTCCCAATGTTGTTTAAAAAAAAAAAATCAGTAAGCAATATTCCTAAACAAGTGGCCCTGAGTAAATCTGTAATGTACTGCCTCAGGATACAACATAGAAACGATTCAATGAGGACCTACCTTACTATATTAATAGAATGTTACTTTATTCCAGTAGTCTTTGTTCTCAAGAATATTGGCCATACATCTACCGGTAGCAGCTATTCCCATGAAAGAGGAGAACCTTTATGCGGTAGTGCCTCATTGCTCAGGCCATATTTGAGTTTTCCTAGCTATCCCTGACAATAGGGCCCCCCACCAGGAGAGCACCAGACTCCCTGGCTCAAGTAGGAGGAGGAGACAGGGATAAAAGTAGGCCTGCCACTAAACGCAGACTCGGCATGGGCCCAGCCACAGGGCCCTGTGGGTGTCAGCAGGCTCTGTGTGAAGCTGGAGGAAGATTAAAGGAAACCGTGCCTCCCCAGGTTCACTCCCAGCTCTTCCTAACATGGCATTTCAGTCACCTTAAGGATGAATAAATTCAACCACCTAGATATATAGTGTAAAAAGTGTTAGTCACTCGTCATGTCTGACTCTGTGACCCATTGACTGTACCCCACCAGTCTCCTCTGTCCATGGAATTCTCCAGGCAGGAAGACTGAAGTGGGTAGCCATTCCCTTCTCCAGAGGATCTTCTCGACCCAGGGATCGAACCCAGGTCTCCTATATTGCAGGCAGGTTCTTTACAGTCTGAGACACCAAGGAAGCCCACCTAGATGTATACTGAAAACTAGAACAAAGCAAACCAAAACAAAACCCTCATATCATGAACGAGTGTGTGCTGACCATGCTCTGGTTATCTGCATGAAATCATCTGTGGAGCTTTAGCCTTGGGCAGGACTTCCCTGGTGGCTCAGAAGGTAAAGCATCTGCCTACAATGTGGGAGACCCGGGTTCAATCCCTGGGTCGGGAAGATCTCCTGGAGAAAGAAATGGCGACCCATTCTAGTATTCTTGCCTGGAAAATCCCATGGACAGAGGAGCCTGGTAGGCTACAGTCCCTGGGGTCACAAAGAGTTGGACACAACTGAGCGGCTTCACTTTCACTTTTCACTTTCAGTGTTAAGTCACTGTAAGTAGCAGCCATAATACTGGAGCTTTATCTCCCATCATGATAAATATTTGCAGGTTACTTAGTGAAAAATAACAGAAGGAGAGAATGCTGTATCTCTACTAGGCATTTTAAAAGTGTGGCATATCACCACGTACTCTAACTGAAGAAACAGACATTTCCCTGAAACTTGCAACAAAAATGCCACTTTTCTAAATTTGATAATGGCTTTTATCCTGGGACATGGGGCGGGAGGATGGAGAGTAGGTTAGGACCTTCACTTTCTACACTCAACACTTCCGTGGTGTTTAGAGGTTTTAGTAAAAACCATGTATCACTTTTATAATTAAGCAGTTATAGCAAAGATCAATTAATAACTGTGTATGTGTGTTAGTCGCTCAGTCATGTATGACTCTTGGCAGCCCCATGGACTGTAGCCTGCCAGTCTCCTCTGTCCATGAAGTTCTCTCCAGGCAAGAGTACTGGATTATCATTTCCTCTTCCATAGGATCTTCCCAACCCAGGTCTCCAGCTTTACCGGTGGATTCTTTACCCCCTGAGCCACCAGGGAAGCCTCAATAAATACTGTTCTGTTAATACATTTTAAGTGCTGAGTCAATGCTTCTTTAAAAACAAAAGAGGGAAATATTATTTTTAAAGGGAAACAAGTGTTGAAAAACTCTGTGCCTGACTCAGTCAAGGAATGACAAGGTGACTATGACAAGTTTGCTCCAGAGACACTTTCTTAACAAATTCCAGTGGTTTCCCTTCTGTGGGAAGGTGGTTTCCCTTCCCTTCTGTGACCAACTATTTAATGAGCCTCTTTAGTTGGCCTTTCCCAGGGTTCACTCACAACTCTTCCTAGAAAATCTCAAAGTCTTCCTTCTGGAACAAGTATTATTTTCTAGGCAGCTCTCACCAAAGGGCAGCCTAGTAATTAACAAGTTTCATCTCCAGAGGCTTCAGGGTCTCATTTCTGGCAAAGGATGTGTGTGCTACACACGATAACACTGTCAAAACTTGCTGTCTTATAAGGAGATTTTTGACATCATAACAAAAGAACTCAGTATACTCCTAAATATTTATCTCTCTTTGTCTCAGAACAACTCCTCAGAGCTCAGGGATTATGTCACTCCTTGCAGCAAAATGAGGATCTGCTTTCTGTAAAACCGTAAACTGTATTTTTGTAGTTCACTCTTTCATTTCAAATATTTCACGTTACCAGGTAACTAAGGGCAATTGCACTATGTAGTCAGCCCTCCTTATCTCCAGGTTTCACATCCACAGGTTCAACGAACGTAGACCAAAAATACTTGTGAAAAAAAAACCAAACAAACAGAAATTTCCAAGAAGCAAAATTTTAACTGTGTGCCAGCAACTATTAACAAAACTTTTGATTATATTAGGTGTTATAAGTAATCTAGGGATGACTCAAAGTATATGCAAGGATGTGCCTGGATTACATGCATGCAAGCCCTACTCCATTTTCCATAAGAGACTTGAGCATCCACATATATTGGTGTCCAGGGGATCCTGGAACCAGTTTCCTGGGGATACCAAGGGACTGCATATACCAGGCAAGGGGAACCTGTAATTCAGGCTGCACTTTTAGAATTAAAACTGACTCCTAAATTTGCAAGACATTAGAGACTTGAAGAGAAATAGTGTTCCACACTAGGAAACAATGTGGGGTTCTGATGTTCTCTGGGTTTACCTTGATTTGGAGCAAAGGAAATGTTAGCTTCCGACTTTAACAACCAGATGTTTTAGATGAAGTGCCTGACTGTATAATATCCATGGAGATTCCTGCTCTAGTTTGCTCGGTAATGCCCCTTCCTGACATGCCCTTTTTGATGTTTCAGGAATTCGTGATGATCGTCGTCTTTGGTTTGGAGTTCATCATTCGAATCTGGTCTGCAGGCTGTTGCTGCCGATACCGCGGATGGCAGGGAAGACTGAGATTCGCCCGAAAGCCGTTCTGTGTCATAGGTGAATATCACAGTCCTGGACGCCCAGGTTTAGGGCACTACATCCTTTTCTTCTCCTGTCTCTGGTATTACCACATTCGGTTCATGTTAAAAGCTAATATTCATGGCTTCTTCACCATGGGCCAGGCTCTCTCATGATTTGAGAGTGCTAATTCATTTAATCCACTTCCCAGCTCAGTGAGGTAGGTATTGCCGTTATACGAGTTTTGCAGATGGAGAGGCTGGGGCACAGAGACGTGGGGTTGCGAAAGTCACACAGCTAGTAAGTGGGTGGCGCTGGGACTGAGCTGGAGGGCCTGGCTCCGGAACACCCATGTCAAGTTGAGTTGTGCTGAAACACACGGATCTCAAGCATCGCCCTGAACTAGGGGAAGCATTGATTTCCATGATCATAAAGACCTATTTTTGTTCTACCGTGTAAGCAGTGCCACTTTTATGCTCTTGGCCCGCTGAAATGTGTAAGTGTACTGTGTCCTGGTAAAGCTTACTTATGAGCAGGCCTCAAGAATAATTACATGTATGGTTTATTACACTCACTGTAACCATGAGACCTGATAAAGTGTTTTCCCCTCTGAAATTTGGGTCCCCACCCTACAGTCCCTGAATAAATACCACATCTCTGCAGCTCCCTGTTGCTTCAAAGAGATTCCAGTCACCTGGGTGCCAGCCTGAAACTATAAAACATTCCAGAGTTAAGATCTGGCACCTCGGAGTGATATATTTTAAAATGTATCATAAAATTGAAAATTCTAGTCAACTGTAGCTCAAATTTTAATTATTTTTTTTTCAGGTAAGTTGCCTACATCATGGCCTTTTATCCCTAAATATTTCAGTATGGATTTTCCAAAAGAAGACTATTAGTTTGCATAATCTGCTGTACTTAAATTGGACGTTAGTACAGCCCCTTGTCTAATCTGCTGGCTGTATCCTAGTTTTGCCAGTTGACCCAATAATGTCCTTGTAGCATTTTTCCCTGCAGTCTAGGGTCACACATGGCGTTTAGTCATCAGGTCTCTGTGGTGTCCTTTTATCTAGAACAGTTTCTCAGCCTTTCTGTCTTTTACAACACTGACATTTTTGAAGAATTTGACCTATTTTTTAAAAAATGGAATGTTTTTATTCCTTTGGGGGAAGAATAGTAAAACCCTGTGTACCATAGCTTCTTGTAATTGTGGATGTTGTAGTTGCTGTTATTCAATAGTCACATTTGGTTTCTGCTCTTTTCTCCTTCCTACTTCTTTGGCATTGGAGAGGGAAATGGTAACCCACTCCAGTGTTCTTGCCTGGAGAATCCCAGGGACGGGGGAGCCTGGTGGGCTGCCGTCTATGGGGTCACACAGAGTCGGACGTGACTGAAGTGACTTGGCAGCAGCAGCAGCAGCAAATCCAAACGCTGAAAGTTCCTGGTGAGCTTCCTTATTTTCACTGCTTCCAACCTGAGAAACTGGGATTTTAGTTACAAGCTAGTTTAGGCAAAGCTCCTCATCAACAGAGGATTTTCCAATCTGTTTCAGAAATTGTTGAGCATCTTTAGGTATCTTCTTCACCCAGTTCTTAAGGAGGAAGTGGAGAAACCCTTTGCACGGGAACTGTCAGAGGAATTCTTTGTTCCATCTTTCATGCCAGTGCTGTGTCCACATCCTGGACACACGTCCTGAGCATGGGGAAGTGGGGGTGCTCCCCACACACCCGCATATTTCAAGAGTCTCCATTCATCCAACTGGACTTTGCGGAAACGTGACTGCTTGCAAAGCACTACAGTTACAGAAGTGACTCTAGTGCAATTCTAAGTTACATCAACCTTAAAACACCTTGCTTGGCCTTTGCTGATGCAGTCTGTTTGTCTGGCTGTCCCTCTTCTGCCAGATGAAGTGAAGAGGAAATTGGGCACCAGCTCCCAGCCCCCAAGGGGCCCACCTGACCCCCAGGGCACATCCATGCAGGCACTTGGTTTTTCTCTGGAGGTCTCCTCTCTATGAATCCCTGCTCAAGCTACACCACAAAACACTGTAGCTCGATGTGAAATTATGGCACAAGAGCTTCCAGTACTATAAGGGACCCAAACAAAACAATTCACAAGGCAAACAGTTTAGCAGGACTCATTCAGCTTCTATAGGGTAAAGTTGGTTCACAGATGACTGCAGGAATGTCCCGTTTCAGGCTTTAAAACCAATTAAAAATTGCCAAAGGATGTTCAAACTACTGCACAATTGCACTCATCTCACACGCTAGCAAAGTAATGCTCAAAGTTCTCCAAGCTAGGCTTCAACAGTATGTGAACTGTGAACTTCCAGATGTTCAAGCTGGATTTAGAAAAGGCAGAGGAACCACATCTGTTGGATCATCAAAAACACAAGAAATTTCCAGAAAAACATCTACTTCTGCTCTATTGACTACACCAAAACCTTTGACTGTGTGGATCACAACAAACTGTGGAAAATTCTTCAAGAGTTGGTAATACCTGTACATCGTACCTGCCTCCTGAGAAACCTGTATGCAGGTCAAGAAGCAACAGTTATAACTGGACATGGAACAACAGACTAGTTCCAAATAGGGAAAGAAGTACATCAAGGTTGTATATCATCACCCTGCTTATTTAACTTATATGCAGAGTGTATCATGCGAATGCTGGCCTGGATGAAGCACATGCTAGAATCAAGATTGCCAAGAGAAATATCAATAACCTCACATATGAATATGTTACCACCCTTATGGCAGAAAGGGAAGAGGAACTAAAGAGCCTCTTGATGAAAGTGAAAGAGGAGAGTGAAAAAGTTGGCTTAAAACTCAACATTCAGAAAATTAAGATCATGGCATCCAGTCCCATCACTTCATGGCAAATAGATGGGGAAACAATGGAAATAGTGAGAGACTTTATTTTTGGGGGGCTCCAAAATCACTGCAGATGGTGACTGCAGCCATGAAACTCAAGGAAAAGCTCCTTGGAGGAAAAGTTATGACCAAGCTAGACAGCATATTAAAAAACAGAGACATTACTTTGCCAACCAAGGCCCATCTAGTCAAAGCTATTTCCAGTAGTCATGTATGGATGTGAGAGTTGGACTATAAAGAAAGCTGAGCACCAAAGAATTGATGCCTTTGAACTGTGGTGTTGAAGAAGACTCTTGAGAGTCCCTTTGACTCAAGGAGATCAAACCAGTCAATCCTAAAGGAAATCAGTCCTGAATATTCCCTGGAACGACTGATGCTGAAGCTGAAACTCCAGTACTTTGGCCACCTGATGCGAAGAGCTCACTCCTTAGAAAAGACCCTGATGCTGGAAAAGATTGGAGGCAGGAAGAGAAGAGGATGACAGAGGATGAGATGGCTGGATGGCATCACTGATGCGATGGACATTGAGTTTGAGCAACCTCCAGGAGTTGGTGATGGACAGGGAAGCCTGGCGTGCTGCAGTCCATAGGGTCACAAAGAGTCAGACACAACTGAGTGACTGAACTGACTGAAAAATTGGTTTCATTCCAATTCCAGAGATGATGTCAGTGTATTTCTGACCTCTAAGCTAAAGAGCAGGTTCTTTCCCACATGTTTGCTGCCTTTTGATAGCTGTTCTCAGCTGCAGATACATCAACACATCTTGGTCCTTTAATCTTTAATCAAGAGGAAGCTCTCTTGAATCCTTCTGGGACTTGGTGTAGCATGTGGTTCTGAAGATGGTGTTGTGTCGTCTGTAACTCAGCCACCTTTAAGCCTGTCCAGCTGTGACCTTACAGATTTAGCATGATGTGGTATAGATGTGGTTGGAGCTTAGTTACCTCTTCAGGCCTTTTCTTCACTTGTCATTTTACCTCTGCCAAGTCAGCTTCTTTGGAAGAAAACCTCACAGATAAATATATAATGAATACCCACTAGAACAAAAGCAAGATTTGTACTTACACTTAAGGTAACTATGCACTTCTCAGTCTTTTATTCAATATATGTGTAATGATTTGATTCGTGGTCCAGCTGAACCTATGTAAGAGTGAAACGTGTTCAAATGTGGCTCTTTCGGACGAGGTCGGTAAGATGTAACCTACACAGAGGAACCGAATGTCACCTGCCTGAAGGCAGCAGGGTGTCCCTGATGGCTCCCAGAGCCCTTTCTAGGCCACGCTTAATAGGGCCATAAAAAATGATTGATGTCAGGGGTAAAATGAGCAGTCGCAATGTAAAGTAAACCCTGGATTTCCCTGCTTGACCTCATTTACTGCAGCAAAGTGGACAGAGGTGCCATCTCTCCGCTGCCTACTAGAGCCACACCTATAACACGTCATGCTGAATCTGTTAGGTCACAGCTGACAGTCCTAACGGTGACTGAGTCACAGGCCACACAACTCCATCTTCAGAACCCCGTGCTACACCAAGTCCCAGAAGGATTCGAGACAGGAAGAGGAAGATTAAAGGACTAAGATGTGCTGATAACTGCTGTGGACTTGGAGATGTAGCTAAGCTCTCTCAAGACTCCACGTATCTGTAAGATCTAGTTACTCTGAACATGCCACACACCCAAACATTTTCAGAAGGCTTGAGCATTCAAGAAAGGGCCCAGAGGAGACTGGTGGCCTCTGTGCCTGCTGTGTGGGGATGCCTTCTGAGAGGCACCCTGTAAAACAGAGCTGAAGCAGAGCGAAGCCCCTCCAGCTGTCACCTTGGGCAGGACAGCCCTGCAGACCAGTTAATCCCATTTGGACACAGGTTGGTTCATGGGGCCCACGGGCTGATTTATTCCCAAAGAATCGTAACTTCCCTCCTGACCTGCCCACTCCCCACCCCTGCGTGGGAGCCAGAACCGGAGCATTTCCAAATACTGTTGATTTAAGAAAACATAAAATCATTATATTCTTGTGTTTGAAAAACATCTTTTAGACATCTGTAACCAAAGGGAAGAAAAATCTATTCATTTTTTTTAAATTAGATGCTTTCTTTACTGAACTGATTTATCTCTCCTTGATTTGGGGAGTTTGAAAACTGGTAAAAGCTTATCTTGAATTGCAAAATTCTTAT